ACAATACCTATTTTATCTTTTTCTTTTCTGTCACACTAGTATCTAAGAATATCAGATAACATTCAGGTTGATGAGAATAAATTTTTAAAAAATCCTTGTAGTAAACTTAATGCCTTAAGTTTGCCATTTTTAAATACAATACCTCACACGTCTGCAAACCTCTGCTATACTGTTAGCATGTTAGCATGGTATCTGAAAACTAATAGCCTCTGTAGTTGTGTATTGTTTAATTAATCCATGATCTGTCACATTTCATTATTGGGAGATACCCACTGTCAGGTCGTTTCTGTGTAGTTCACACTGTACCTCAAGGGATCTCAAACGCTTTGGTTGGTGTAAAAGGTGCTTTTTGTCCTGGCCTCTCGCCCGAGGAAATGCTGCATGGCAGGTAACGAATCACAACCTAATGAGCCTTGGTAACTGAGCTTTCCTAGGGATCCAGTTGCTGGTTCAGTGACCTGTATTACCCAGTATCTCGTTTGGCAGAGAATTAAGAATGGAGCAGACACATCATCAGCAAATTTTCCTGAGTGCAGACTCATTTTGGTACAAGCTGTCAAAGTCCAAGGACCCTCCAATCTAGTTTTCTAAACCTCATCTGTCAGTGGAGTATAGTTGGTTTATAAATTGGCTTAAAGATAATAATGGAACTAACCTTTTTACACAAAAAGCATGTTTGCAACTATGATAAACTTCTCCAAAGCTTAAAAATAATAGTCCTGAATAATGTATCAGTGAAACATCCTAGTGGGTGATTGGTGGTGGGAGGTTAGTGTGGGCTGGTGTTGCAAAACAGTCAGCCCTTGCAGTAACTCACATAACTGATGTTAGAGCCACTTGTGTGGAAGTTGTTTTGTTGTGGTTTTTAGTTGTTTTTAACTGCTTTGTCTCGCTACAAGAATGCTATCATGGTGTTTGACTTCTGCTGCGTCAGCTTGCGGCAGGTAACAGAGCTCTCCACCGGACCACGGTCAATCCGCAATACTGAAGTGCCTGAACATCAAGTAACCTCCATGAATTAAGGATTCTTTGAACAAAATGTTGGTCATTCAGTTTTGTTTAGTTGGTTGTTTATCTTCACGTCTGCAAATGCTGTCCTGTTGGGCAGATTGTTCCCTGGCTGTGTGCAGAGAGGCTTCTTTGTTATCATTTTCTTTGTTTTAACATGCTAAAGCTATCCACACATAGATGTGCGCACAGACATCTGAACAGAATATAGACATCTCTGTGCTTTAACACAGGGATTCACGTATCCTCACTGCAAGTCCTTCTGGCATGTCCAGATCGTTGAATTGCACATCATGTGAGAGTACCAAAAAATTCTGTTCGTGGCTTTCCTGGTCAAGTTAGCTGTGATAATTTGTCCTTCCTTCTCTGCTTCTCACAATTATTGGAAGTTCAGTATGTACATAGGAAAAATAGATTAGCAGAATTTGAGGACTTTTGCTCTTAGAGTATACGTACTAGTTAACTTAAATGACAGTTGAGTGCAGACATGCCAGCCAGTCCAAGAGCCAGCTACGTTTGCATAGGCCATTGTATTACAAAGATTCCAATTGCCAGATAAACCTAGTACAATTTTAGGTTTAAAATAAATTTGAGGAGTTGTATATCTCTGTTTGCTGTATGTTAAACGTGTACAACATATGAATATACTTTATGTATAGAATATACTAAGAGATCGTTCTTGAATTAGGGTGGCTTCCTTTCTTCAGTAGATTGTGTTCTGTTGTTCTGTACTTTCAGTAATTGCCTTATTACTGTGAAGTAGTTGTTTCTCTTAACAAAGTTAATGGGTTTGAGATTATAAGGGTACTAGGAAATGTTAGAAGATTTGCGTTTAGATCCTCTTTCTTTGTCAAATTGCCTGTTTAAAAAAAGGGAGAAAAAACTGTTTGTACCCTATTAATAAAGTTTATTCCTAGTATGATGGTAATGAGCTCATATCAAACAAGACAAGGATATCACCATTTTTTAAGTGAAGACCAGTAAGGTCACTCCACTTAGTTCACTGTCTCTAGTCAGCTCAAAAATATCCTCATATTTTGTCTTAGCACATTAGTAATAGTCTGTGTATGTATGACTGTATTATACAATGCTTGTAGGTTTGGAGGGGGGTGCAAAATACCACCACACTATAGTCATAGTAGAATAAAATGTGAAGCCAGACAATAGAATAGAAAATGCAATCTATCTATAGACATTTTTTTTTTAAATTAAGACTATTTGAACACCTATTTACTTGTAAAACAAGATTTGTACTATTTAGCAGGGCACCTCCAGCAGTAGTTTCATTTCCCTCCAGCCAGAGCTGTCCCAGTGCTATCTGCAGCTTCTGCAGCACGCATGAGAGAGCTGGAGCTGAAGTACTTCCTATCTCTAGCAAAACTGATGGCACCGGCTAGGAGATAAAAGAGTGGTCCAGAGTCGTTTTGCTGGGCTCTGTCCGAAGCGCTGTCCTTGTTCCAAGAGAGAGCCCAAAGCTGCAGATTTTCCATCCAGCCTCATTATTTATTTCACAGTGGAACTTTTTATTGTCCTCAGTCTCTAATGAAATAGATAAGATGAATAAAACCCAAAACAGATAGAAAATGCAGAGCTCTGGGCGGGAAGAGGAGAGGGAAAATAGTCATGTTTTTTCTCAATGAGAGAAAAAGAAAAAAGTAGAGAGGAGGGAAGAAGGGGATTTGCTCAGTGCCCAGAAATACTCAGGATTTACAACCACAGCAATCTTTTCAGTTAGGGCAGTAGTGTCATTCACTTACTGTATTAAACTTCTGCAGAAAAATGGATACGCGTTTTTGGTGTTTTCATTTCTGATCAGTTTAATCCTTGTATCTCTTCCTTAGTTTAATAAAGGTCGCTGTATCTCTGTGAGTGGAGTCTGTGGGTTTGGATTGAGATGAATAGTACCAGCACAGCTGTAGAGGGAAGCTGTATTGCAAACAGCAGGCACCTCATGTTCAGTTCTTCTCTCAGGCACCTCATCTTAAGTTGATTCAGAGCATGCAGGATATGGTTGTGTTTTGTCTTGCAGCAACGGAGTTCTGACCTTCATTTATATCAAAAGAGGATGAGGCTTCAAATAGTTGACCAGGGTCAGACGTTACATGTGGCTTTGCAGTCATGGGGATGAAAACAGAAGACTTGTAGTAATACTCAGCTAAGAAATCATAGGGGAGATCTCAAAAGAACATCTACTGTCCCCAGAAAGAATGTTAAAGACTTTTAGAGCAGTTAGAGTTGACTGCAAAGTGCAGAAGCTGAACTGGGAGTTACACACAGAAATTTTGTATTCCCACAACGACAAAATGAACAGGAAACCAACTGTGATTCAGTAATACTTCCAGTTTGATATCAGTAATATCAGTGCAATAGATTGCAGTGATTTCAATTTATCCTGCAATAGATTGGAGCCTATTGTGAGATAGCTGTGAAACATAGATGAATCTAGAGAAGTGAAAATTGCAATACAATCAATGTTTAAAAAGATAAAAAGATAAATTCTTGTAAAGTATAATTATGTTGAACATAGTTGTCAAAGAACAACTGGTTATAGTTGTATTAATTCTTACTGAAGGAAAAATCTAAATTCCTTTTTAAAGGAGGGAAAACACAAAAATAGTACATTTTGAACAGGAAGACTGCACATGTTTTGTGAATGAGCATCACACACTTGGGCACTGTTGGTTTTTGTGAGGAAACAGCAACCAAGAGTTTGTCCAGCGTGTTGTGCCGCACACCTCTGTCTTGTGGTCTTGCTTGGGCAAGGAAGGTGCTTCTTCAGCTGCATGCATGCAACAGGCTAAAAAGTTTGATTTCTGAGTAATCTGGTGGGGAAAAGGAGGCTGCCTGTTAACTAATTTACATGCTGAGCTGATTCCCAGTCAGTGTTAATGGGAGTGTAAAGGTGCATCGGTTTCTGTGTGGATGATGTGCAAGATAGAGCAGCCACTTGCTGTGCAGTTTGTTTCTGATCTTTATATCGGAGCTATATAAGACAACTGAATTTTATTTAAGCAGTCCCATAAGATGATTTTATTTCAGCCTTTGAAGCCTCAGTACTTTCAGCAAAAAGTGCTAATGTAATTATGATATGACATTCATGTTCACAAGACCCTAATGCTACGTGTTTAACTGGATTAAAGCAAATGGAACTTGATGGGGTTTTGGCCTTAAAAATTGCTCATTTTTTATTTATTTAATCATGCCAAAATTGAACAAGGAAAATATTCTTCTGTACCTTAGCCCTAGTTGTCTTGACTCTGCAACTGCTCTGTTCATGATGACTCAAAGCCATGGTGAACTAATTAAGACAGTACTGTGTTACTAACAAAAGAGCTGCTTTCTTCCTCCCTCCTCCCCCCAGCAGTTTGTCAAACAAAATTGTATCCTATACCAAAATAATAGAAATCTAATGTATCCTGGCACTCCGTCTCTAGTCAACCAGCAATATTTTGTAATGCTGTTTTAGTACGTGTATTAGAGGACTTGTGTTTTACACAGCCCATTAACACAAGGGAATCATTAATTTCTGGAGAATGTCTTTGCCAGAAAGATGTGGGCTTTAAATCTTCTACGTACATAGAAAAGTACCGTCCATCTCAAATGTTCTAAATAGGTATGATCATTATTGAAAATAATAGTAATATCTTATGCTCTGCATTTTAAATGACTGCATTTTACAGTGGACATTCTTTTAGAAAACTCAGTGATACATTTGCATCAGCATAGACATGCTTAGATACAGTGTCTTAACATTTTTTCATGTGGATCTGGATTATAAGGTGCTGCTGTTTCTCTTGTTTGTAGTTTTCTGTGCTTCATGTGCATGTTAAGATAATTTTGTCCTGTTTAAAGTATTTTTGTGCTAATGTAGTTGTTGTTTCCACCTTTGTTTTTTATATAAACAAAGGGCACGTGTTACATCTGCTTTTTGAAAGTCGTCTTTAAAAACTTTTAGCAATAGTTAACTCAGCTGTTTGTTTCTGCTCTCTAAGGGGTCGCCTGGCCTGATATGCACCGTCTGGCTGACAGAGTCCATCTGGAGGAGTTGACTAAAATTGGCATTCTGAAAGGCAATGTAGATGACATGGTGAAGGTTCATCTGGGTGCAATATTTATGCCACACGGACTTGGACATCTACTTGGAATCGATGTGCATGACGTTGGAGGCTACCCAGAGGTTAGTGTTAGTGCATTCTCAACTGCCTTGCAGATTAACCCCTCTCAATTCGATCAGCATTTCTCTGCATGATTAGCCAGTTGCATGTTCTCAGAGGTGGAGCCGATGTGCATTTAAGTGTGTCTTTTTCTGGATGTGATATTTTATGTGATAGTTTACTTCAAGGGAGCATATTAGTTCATTAAAACATAAATTGCTTATGGGGAGAAATCAACTGATGCCGCCCTTCAGGCATTCTTAATCTGTTCAATTTTTACATACATTATGTTGTTCCTCCATGAGTCACCGCTGTAACATACGTCACTCAAGCATACCCTATGCTGTGACAGAGAGCATCTCGGTCTACCCGAGACCTGTAGTGGGAAGACTCTCTTGCTTTGTTCCAGATGTGAGACAGCTGTGGGAGCCCATTGCTGCACCTGGGCTAGTAAATCCTGATGGCTGTGTCATATGGAAACAAGCTGGCTCATATTCCTGTCTTGAACTTTGATCTCCAGCGTCAACATGGGCACCAATGTAGATGTATTGTACTGGAATGAGAACAGAAAGAAAAATCCATCAAGTCGTCCAAATGTGAGAGCATAACCTCTTGTGTTCTGAGTTTCTGCAGAAAACACAGAATTGCTACCTTTTTCCTTGAATTAACATGATGGTGGTGGTCTGAAAGCAGAATGAGTAAAATTCTGTAACCAATGAATGGTAAGATGTTTGCAATGGTACTAAAAAAAAAAACTCTAAGGGGAATTGAACTTAAGGTTTGAATAAAGAAAGGAAGTTTACAGCAGCTTCAGAAAGATTTCAAAAGGATTTTCTGTGTGTTATGTTTTGGTTATTTGAGGCTGACTGTTTAAGGGTTTTCAATAATACAGTATGAAAATGCATCATTTGCCTTCTCACTTATGTACGATGTTCTTCTACAAGAACCTGAAACAGAAACTAAGAACTTTTTAGGTAAGATTTAAGCATATTTTGGAGCATATTTAAGCATATTTTGGAGCTTGTTCCTGTTGGGTCGACAGGCTACATAACAGCTGCTATTGCTGGGTTCACTTTTGCAGGCAGGGAAGAAACAGTATATAATATTTGAGGGTACTCATTATGTTCACAATATAATTATTGTTGAGACACAGTACTGTGATGACAATGTATTGGCATCAGCTAATAAACTTGTATGTAATAAAAATGAAAGAAAAATCAAAAGCAACCCTATTCTGATTTTAAGGCTTCTTCACTAGCTAATACAGAAAGGATGGGTGTTTCCCCCTCTGTCTCTCCCAAGTGCATTCTCTCTGTGTACAAATAGAGGCATTCAGCAAAGCACTAGGGATGTGATTACTTGGAGAGTTCATGGACTTTAAAATCCAGGACCCCGATGTTGCATGGCTTTGGTTAGATTGTTTGCACTTGTGTTGTGAATAACCTTTCTGAATTTGGTGGACTTAAGTAAACTGGAGCACATGTTCAAGACTTGGTAGGGTAAATAGATAACTAAATTTTAGGAACAAGTGAGAAGAATTGTGAGAGTGAAAAGTACCAGGATTGGTTTTTATTTAGAAACTGTATGCTTTGAAGGTTAGAGCAAGTACCTTAATTTCAAGGGAGATTTCTAGAACTGATTTTTGGAGACTATAGAGCAACGCACCCTTATACACCTTCCAGCTCTCAGCAGGTTTCAGTAGTGTGGCATATGAGCTGCAGAATCAGTTTTTGAAACTAATTTTTATTTACACACGACCAAATTTATAACTGCTAATTATCGGGTCTATTATATAATTTAAGGGTCGTTCTTCTGAAAGCAGACCAATCTATCCACAGTTTTGAAAGAGCAACCTGTTATAGATAAAAATGGGTTAAGGGATTGTATTGTCGAATGAGCTAGGCTCTCCACTTTCATACTTAACGTGTGTAAAAATGCCAGAGCTCTATGCGGATAGAGAATTATATACTTGCAAATGGCCAAGAAGGCCAATAGTATCCTGGCTTGCGTCAGAAACGGTGTGGCCAGCAGGAGTAGGGAAGTGATCGTCCCCCTGTTCTCGGCACTGGTGAGGCCGCACCTCGAATACTGTGTTCAGTTTTGGGCCCCACACTACAAGAAGGACACTGAGGTGCTGGAGCGTGTCCAGAGAAGGGCAACGAAGCTGGTGAAGGCTCTGGAGAACAAGTCTTATGAGGAGCGGCTGAGGGAACTGGGGGTGTTTAGCGCGGGGGAGACCTCATTGCACTCTACAACTACCTGAAAGGAGGTTGTAGCGAAGTGGGTGTAGGTCTCTTCTGCCAAGTAACAAGTGATAGGACGAGAGGAAATGGCCTCAAGTTGTGCCAGGGGAGGTTTAGATTGGATATGATGAAAAATTTCTTCACCGAAAGGGTTGTCAAGCCTTGGAACAGGCTGCCCAGGGAAGTGGTTGAGTCACCATCCCTGGAGCTATTTAAAAGACGTGTAGATGTGATGCTTAGGGACATGGTTTAGTGGTGGACTTGGCAGTGTTAGGTTAACGGTTGGACTTGATGGTCTTAAAGGTCTTTTCCAACGTAAATGATGGTACGCTTCTATTCTATGATTCTAAATATTAAAATTACTTGTTTGTGTGGACATGCAACTGCATTCTTACATTAAGAATGTTTGCATGGCTAATTTACTTTCAAAATCCAATGCTAAATAACAAATTTCCTGAATATGGGGGAAGCATGTATGTAAGCTCACAAACAAATAGTTGAAGTCCTGTATTTGCATATAAATGTGCATGTAGATAGAGGTGGGACATTAGCTTAGTTTGAAAAATCATGAATTTGGGGTTCTGCAGAAGGGCAGCCCCTTTAAACTCTCTCTGCGGCATTAATTCCTCCTCTGTTAGACCCGTCACTTCTCTCTGACCCAAAGCATGAGGTTCTTTATGTTGGGTCATTTGACTAAGGTGAGGTGCTTGAGCGTCGGAGCACCTGGTGGTGGAAAACCCACATCAAAGCCTGTTGATGGGGTGAACTTCATTAGGCTTGAAGCTCTAATGAGAGGCACGGTCCCTGCCCGCGGCAGGAGGGTGCTGTAGGGCTGCGGTGCCGGAGCAGCACTGGAAGGCTTCAGGGGACATGGTTTTCCCCAGGTAAATCTAAACGTGAGCCGTTGGGCACTTCTCACCCGAGTGTGATACGTGTCTGTATTAAATGAGAGAAGGCTTTTTGTCTGTGTCTCGTTGTTTCATGAGAAAACACGTTTTGAAGACATCTAGTATGCTGTGGAGTGATTTTTGGTGCATTTTAAATGTTTACCAGCTAGCGAGATTTTTGCAAGGAATTTCATAAAGCCATTTGTGTGTTTATTGTACACTGAGCCCATGCCTGTAGTATCATGCTCTTTTTTTCTAGCTGGTTAAGAAGCAAGTTATTTGCTTTTGGCTGAGGGAATTTCTGGGAGTATTACAAAGGATTTTTTAAAAATAAAAACTTTCCAAGTGGATATTATTCCATTATTTTTCCTCAAGTGTAAACAGTTACATTTGGAATAATACAATAAGCTTTAATTTCCTAATTTTTATCCGTCACAAAGTTTTGTGTGTTCCAAAAAAACTATTTCCAGACATTGTTAGCTTAGATTAGTTATTCATTAGTAGCCAAAGATTTCTTTTTTCAAAATTGGCAATAATAAGTTTTCATCTTTTCCAGTAAGCTGCTTTCACATGCAGCATTGAACAAGCACTTTCTTCCTCTTTGACAAACACTGTAAAAAGCTTGCACATTTTCTGCAAAGGATACTCTGGGATATTAGAAAAGTGTAACATTTCCCTTCCTTTTTTTTTTTCCATGATAAAAAATAATTGGTTTTGGCCAGCAATAAATGTGGCTTAGCAGCTGTGTTTAGGGCAAGATTTTTAAAAGACCGTAACCACCAGTATTTGCCATTGAAGCACGTAAGTAAATGTCCTGATTTTCAGAAGTACTCGGCAGTCAAGAGCTCCTTCAGGAATCGGGTCTCCTGCAGTGTACCGTGTTATTCCTCGCGGGAAAGCCGAGCGTCAAATACTTCTTTGAAAATCTCTCTGCTGCTTTTAAGGGTCTAACTACAACTTGAGCAGTTCTGAAAATCCAGCCCCAGTGGTACTAATCACTTCAGAAAATCTGGCTCTTAGTCAGACAGAGCTAGCTTCAAAGGGTGAAAACTCCACTGGGCTTAGCTTCAGCTGTAAAATTTAATCATGGAGATGGTTTTCCCACACTTTTTCATTTGTTTCTGGGTAAATTCGATACGGGATATAAATGAGGGTTTGTGCCTGCTGCAATGGAGAAAATGTGGTAGGTGATCCCAAATTTTCAGACCCTGAGGTAGATGGGGCTGAAGTTTTCATTTAAAACTAGGTTCTGCGTCTCTAGATGCTTGAGTTGATTCAATTTCATGTTATATTAATTGTCCGTAAGGCTCTGAAGAATGCTAAGTACATTTGATGACTTTCTATAATAATAAGCCAGTTAATTTAAGTTAGGTTAATAACTACTGTGATTTTAACATCTTGTGAATTAAGAGTTTCATTTTGTTTTGTCTTTTAAAATTATAAGATTTACCTTAGTTTAAAGTTTTAATTCAATTCTCTATTCTCATGAAAAGCTGATCCTTTCATCGCTATTCTGCATCAGCAAATTAAGGTTAGAGGTTTGTTTTGATCCTGGAGTTATCCATGTCCTTCCATTACTGTGCATGCTTGGGGAACATCTCTGCTGCTCAGAGAGGTGTACAAGCTGCGTCTGGCTCTAACAGAAAGCTTGCTCCCAGATCTGAGATGACCGTCTGGGGATTTAGGTCACCAAACCTCCTAGAGAATACAGGAATGATCTTGTTCTGGCAAAAATTATTTTCCTTATGTATCCTACTTTATGCTGAAGCAGAAGATTTCATTTTTTTTGTGGTTAGTATTGCAAATGATGCATTAATGTTTTTTCCTTTAAGAAGCAGAGGATGAGGTGAATTTACCAAGGAGCCTAAAGCTGTTATGTAGAGCCCCAGTGAT